GCAAAATGGTTTATCTCAAGTACAGGCGTTCCTAAACATTGTACACTTTCAATGAAAAGCACTGGCCCGCTGGTCAGATCAAAACACAACGACCTTTCCTGGTACTTAGCTTACCGCATAACGGGCAAGATGAAAGAAGTCCTGACATGTGCAGGCTACTATTTTTGATCAATGATTCATTTTCCGCAGACTGTCACCAGACCAACTACTCATGAAGTCTCTCACGTCCATCCAATCTCAATTACGTTTTTGCAGTCGTTTTGTGACTCTTCGAAGTCGCATCAGTATGCATAAATACAGACCAGTCCATGCCTATCTGCGAGCCATTTATTCCCCGGACATGCTCTCTCCTAGGAATCGGCGAGTTTTTCCGGCCACCTACACCGGGCCCCTGAAAGGTCGTATTACAGTTAGCCATTATAGTCCTCCATTCCATTCGATTCCTGCGCCGACAGATACTACCACACCATACCGAAATAACAGCGAAAAATTAGGACTCATACAAGAGTTTTGCGGATGGCTCAACGGATGCTCATCCGTATCGTCTCTCTCCACGCGTTTCTCCCTTAGCTGAGGGGGACATTTTGGAGTTGTGAGGCGGCTAATAATAAAACTTGTTAACACTGTTGACAATTCATGCGCGGATAGGGTTCTTTGGACGCGATCCGCTCCGATCGGCTCGATGGTGGAAAACCTTTGCCCTTCGAGAGTTGTCTACTTATGGGCAGATCCGATGCCTGCACAGAATGAAACCTATCTGCGCATGACTATGACTACGCCACCATTAACTATGATTAAAAATTCCCGACGGAATCCAAAGCGTCAGGAAGATAAAACTCTTGTTCCAGTGGTCGCGCCCTCTTCTTCTGAACTGTTGGTAAGCTTCATCTGCCTAGCCTAATAACCGCTGTGTGGCTGCAGGCGGGCCTCAAGAATTAGTCCCAAGGTAGAGCGCTTCGAGTAAGTTCCATTAGCTAGCGGTGAACGTTCGGCGTTACTCGAAGGTTTCATTGATAAACTGTTTATTTAATCCTAATCACATCTTAGGAGGCTGACCGTAAGGTGCTGC